TCTAGACAATTAGCCAGGGACAATTTTAAGGAAAGAAAAGGAAATAGATCAAGACTTAGGGTTTTAAAACTAGTGAAATCATTTTCTAAAAGTAATAAGGCTAGTTTACGCTTAAAGGAGAAATATCGAGTTGGCAAGGTTTAGAAAATCCCTACACGAAATTTCTAACTTTAACATTCAGTGCTAAGTTTTATCGTACTATACTAGAGTGAAGATATATTTAAATAGTTTGCTTAAAAACTTCTCAAGTTCACAGGACCAAAATGGATTCCTTACAATTCCGATTTACAAGCACATAATATTTCAGATTTGTCAATATAACCAACTCGCATTTCAAATAGAAATCTCACTAAGGCTTCGTCAATCATTAGCCCTAGGTTTCAACAGATTCAATTCTGATCAAGAATAAAACGAATGACCAAGGCTTCGTCAATCATTAGCACTTGGTTTTGGCAAGCTCATATCACATCTTAACTAAAACAAAATGAAGGTAAGGCCTCCAAGAAATTCCAGCAATTAAAGTTCATCACCCTTTAATATTTATAAAATCATTTAAATGGCTAATGGCTTCATCAATCATTAGCCCTTGACAACCATCAATCACTTCCAACCACAATTCAATCAGGAATTCAAATCACAAATAAGCTAAATGTTCGATCCAAGTCAAAATCCAGTTTCATGAAGAAACAGGACATTCAAGCAGGACAGCCTATTTTGAGGAGTCACGGACAGCAGTACACATGGAGGAAAAATATGAAATTTCTACAGAACAAAGGCCCATGATTCTAGTTTCAAATGCCACTGACGGCACCTTAAACGGATTTTCCTACACCAAGATATAAGCATTTTACTGAGACTGGTCAGTGAAATCCGAAAATCTGAAAACTCATTTTTTTTCACTTGTGAAAAACTCCTTTTTCTCTTTCAACACCATAAGGTTTTTATTCAAACCATCCATACATTTCTTATAGAACTCTAAAACAACATATTCCAGGCATTTCCAACCATTATGTTTCAAAGAAAAATTTCAAAACCAAGCTGAGATTCCAACTCAACCTTCGGCTATCAATACCTTTCCAGCACTTAGGGTTTTATAAATCCAACTTTTCCTTGGCTAAAACATGGTTTTAGCTTCTCAAATTCGTCATGTGAACCTTTGGCTAGCTAATTAACATTTCTGGTTCAAAATCGAATTCGAATAATAGCTTCAAACATCCCAAAAATCCAGAAATCTGTCCAGCTAGTCACGGATGAACATGTATGAAGAAACTTTCTGTTTTCATTTTATTTTCTTGGTTAAAACATAGTATTACTTACTCAAATTTGACCTGTAAACACTTAGTTAACCGATTAACATTTCCAGCTCAAAATTAAGTTCAAACAACTGTTATAATCCTCAAAATTTCCAGGTTTAAACTCACGGTAGTTCACAAAAATTTTTCCAGAAATTGTATGTTCTTAATCTAGCTTTTTCCTTGGCTAAATCAGCATTTTAGGAACTCAAATTCAACATGCAAAGCCTTAATCGTATTAATCATCCAAGTTTAAGTTAACTAATCATAATCTCAGGTTTTGATCATCACAACAAAGCAGATTACATCATGAAATTCTTAATCAATTCTCGGTCAACCATTTTCTTTTCAAAACGGAATTTTCTTATGCCTTAACATCATCATCCGAGTCTAGATTCCACATGCAACACCCTAATCAACTTAATCTTTCACTTTTTAGTTAACTAATCATGATCTCAACCTCAGGTTATCAAAATTGGACAGATTAGAAACTGCATTACCTTGTTAATCCCTCGGCCGAACCATTTAGCCATCCAGTCAGATTTTTCTTTTTCTAATGTCTCATCCGATGGTTTAAAATCAACATGCAAAGCTTAATCCTCTAGTCCTAAGATAAGTAATCATATTTCTGAGCTCAAATTACCACAAATGAGTGAGATTAAGGCTGCACTTCCAACTCAGTTTTAGCCAAGTAGGTATGCGCACCTCAGAAATTTCTTTCTGCTTTTCTAGATCATCAACCAACGCCCAAAATTCAACATGCATGTCACTAATTAGTTCCATCAACCTCAAATCGGTTTAATTAGGCTCAGAGATTACCTCAGAAACACTTAGCTCCCACACGAAAATCTGGAAATTTTCTTTCCTTCCTCTCGACTTCTCGCGCAGGTTTGGTTCTGGTTTGATGAGTTGCGGCTGGGATGGTGAAATGCAGCTTGGTTGAGGTTACAAATGGCCACGGCTGGGAGAAGGGAAGGTACAGGATCGATTGTTTTCACGCGTGGTCCTCTGATTTCTGCCCTCAGCTCGCGGTCAGAACGAGAGAAAGAAAATTTTTGCAGCTTGCTTTCTCGCACTCTTGCTCTCGGATGGCTGGTTTCTCACCTCTCTCTCTCTCTGTCTTCTTAGCCAGGTGAAGGTGGGGTGTGGTGGTGCGAAGTGGAGCAGAAATGTTGTTGTGTTCTAGTTTTGTAATGGAGATGGAGTCGCGGTTTGAGAGGAGTTAGAGTGTATGAAATGGTTGCGTGTAGAATTGGTAAAAATGTGATTGGCCGATTAGGGCGGTGATTGAAATGCTGTCAGCGGGATTGTTTGGTTTTGCATGAAAATGTTGTGGTTGTAAGGACATTTTAGTCTTTTCACTTTGCTTCCTAACCTCTACTTAAATTCTCCATTCTAACTTAACTCCAAAAATTATCCCCAAGTGTGATTTGAAAGCCTAATTATACACTAGTCATGCAAGACTTTAATAATCGAAATTTCATGCCTTGAGTATGTTTCGCATATTTGTATAATATTTATCTAAAATTCATTGATATCGTCTTACCGTGAAAAATTTCCTTTTTAACCTATAATGCTAGCAACTAATTGGAATTAATCATTGAGTTTCGAGTAATTTATTTTAAAGTAATAAGATTAATCGGCTCAAGTATCATTAATTTTTGCATAAAGGAATTTAAGTATTCCAACATTTTATGTTAAGGCGAAAAATTTAATCTAACTCTAAAGACATTACTTTAGTTTAGCAAAACCAAGAAATTTCATAACTTAGGAAAATTATATTATTTTTCACATAAACCTATTTTTACGTACTTAATTGCGAACAAGTAAAAGTAATGCTAGAAATTATTAAGGAATAAAAGAAATGCAAATGAAATATGCACTGGCTTATATATATTTTTAGGGTTCTCACATCCTCCCCTCCTTACAAAGAATTTTGTCCTCAAAATTCACACTTTCTAAGGAAATAAATCAGGGTACTTTTTCTGCATTTCCTCCTCCAATTTCCAAGTTGCTTCCTCAAGTCCATGATTTCTCCATAGAATCTTTACCAGAGGAATTTTCTTATTCCTCAGCTCCTTTACTTCTCTTTCCAAAATCTTGACTGGTCCTTCTTCATACGTTAACGTCTCATCCACTTCAATTCCCTCCAGTGGCAGCACATGACTTGGGTCGGAATAATATTTCTTAAGCATGGAAACGTGAAATACATCGTGAACCTTAGCCATGCTTGCGGGGTAATTTCAGCTGATATGCTACATTCCCAACTCGTTTCAAAATTTCGAAAGGTCCGATATGCCTTGGCTTTAGCTTCTTACCTCTCTTAGACACTACTCTGCCCTTCAAGGGTTTAATTCATAGGAAGACCTTGTCTCATACTTCAAATTCCAAATCTTTCCTCCTTTTGTCGGCGTAGCTCTTTTGTCTACTCTGAACGGTTTGAAGCCTTTCTCTAATTAGTTTCACTTTCTCCTGGGCTTCTTCTATCCAAGGTATCGCTGTTGGATCTACAATCTTCTTCTCTCCTATTTCATCCCAATGGATCAGAGATTGACACCTTCTCCCATACAAAGCTTCATAAGGTGCCATTTGAATTGAGGCTTGATAGCTGTTGTTATACGCAAATTCTACTAGAGTCATATAATTACTCCATTTACCTCCAAAATCCAATATACACGACCTCAGCAGATCCTCCAAAGTTTGAATTGTTCTTTCCGACTGCCCGTCGGTTTGGGGATGGTAAGCAGTACTAAATTTCAACTTGGTCCCCAAAGACTCCTGAAATTTCTGTCAAAAACGTGAGACAAACCTTGGGTCTCGATCAGACACGATACTTACAGGGATACCATGTAATCTTAGGATCTCTTCTGTGTACAACTTGACCAGTTTTTCCAACGAAAAGCTCATGCTTACGGGTAGGAAATGTGCAGATTTAGTGAGTCGGTCAACTATTACCCAAATTGCATCAAATCCTTTTTGACTTCTAGGCAATCCCGTTACAAATTCCATTGTTATATGTTCCCATTTCCATTCAGGGATTTCTAACGGTTGCAATAAACCAGAGGGTTTCTGATGCTCAACTTTTACTTGTTGACAGATCAAGCATCTCTCTACAAACTCTGCCACGTCTTTTTTCAAACCTTCCCACCAGTATAATCCCTTCACATCATGATACATCTTGGTCACACCTGGGTGTATAGTATATTTCGATCGATGTGATTCTTCTAAAATTTCTTTTCTTATCTCTTCATCTGCCGGAATTACAATTCGATCTCGAAACCTCAATACACCTTCAGACCCTAATTTAAAATCTAGGGTTTCCCCTTTTTGCACTTTCTCCAAATTCTTCTGAATTATAGGGTCCGTTTTCTGGGCCTCCTTAATACGCTCTAGTAATGGTGATTTTAACGATAAGTTCCCAAATAATATCTTCAGTTTTTCCAAGAGAGGGTTCCAACTACTTATTTCTTCTAGCATGTCCTACTCTTTAACCATTAACCCTGCTACTCCGGCCTTTCTACTTAGGGGGTCAGCTACCACATTAGCTTTTCCTGGGTGGTAGTTAATTGAACAGTCATAATCTTCCAGAAATTCTACCCATCGCCTTTGTCTCAAATTTAGTTCCTTCTGGGAGAACAAATACTTGAGGCTCTTATGGTCCGTATAAACCTCAAAAGTCACGCCATACAAGTAATGTCTCCATTTCTTTTAGGCGAAAATCACTGCTGCTAACTCTAGGTCGTGAGTTGGGTAGTTTTGTTCGTGAGGCTTCAGTCTCCTGGAAGCGTAGGCAACCACTTTACCATTTTGCATTAAAACACATCCTAGACCTTCTCCAGAAGCATCGGAGTATACGGCATAACCTTTTTCCCCGTCAGGTAACACCAAAACAGGAGCGGATGTTAAACGCTTCTTTAATTCCTGAAAACTTGACTCGCACTTCGGAGTCCAAATGAACCTATTCCCTTTTTTGGTTAGCTCGGTCATGGGTCCAGCAATTTTTGAAAGATCCTTGATAAATCGCCTATAATAACCTGCTAATCCCAAGAAACTTCTAACTTCAGTTGGGGTTTCCGGCTGCTTCCAATTCATAACGGCCTCAACTTTTGCCGGATCCACGGCAATTCCCTCCTTGGAAACTTTATGCCCTAGAAAAAATATTTCTTCCAGCCAAAACTCGCACTTGCTGAATTTGGCATACAGCTTCTGCTCCCTTAATATTTGCAAGACTATCTCCAAGTGCTTAACATGTTCCTCTCGAGTCTTAGAGTATATCAAGATATCGTCGATGAAAACCGCTACAAACTGATCTAGATACTTCTTAAAGACTCTCTGCATTAAATCCATGAATGCCGCTGGTGCATTAGTTAAACCAAAAGGCATGACTGCGAACTCAAAATGTCCATATCTCGTACTAAAAGCAGTCTTGGGTATATCCTCCTTCTTAATCCTCAACTGATAATACCCTTGCCTCAAGTCCAGCTTAGAGAAAACTACTGACCCTTGCAGTTGGTCGAACAAACTATCTATCAATGGTAGAGGGTATTTATTCTTAATTGTAATCTCATTTAACCCTCGGTAATCGATACATAACCTCAAGCTTCCGTCCTTTTTCTTAACAAATAGAACGGGTGCTCCCCATGGTGAATCACTCTCCTTCACAAAACCTTTCTCCAAGAGATCTTGCAGTTGGATTTTCAACTCCTTTAGCTCGGCAGGAGCCATTCAGTACGGAGTTTTAGAAATTGGAGCCGTTCCAGGCACCAAGTCAATCTTAAATTCCACTTCTCTTTCTGGCGGTAGAGTCTTTAGCTCTTCGGGAAAAACATCCGGAAATTCCCGTACCACTAGTACATCTTCTAACTTCACTTGATCACTAGGAGCATTAATCAAGAAGGCTAAGATACCTTGAGCTCCTTTTGACAACATTTTCCTCGCCCGTATCCCTGAGATCATAGCAGATGATGCTAACCTACCCTTAACATCTAACCTCAGGGTTGCTTCTCCAGGTATACAGAATTCTACCACTTTCACTCGGCAATCAAGCTTAGCATGATACTGGCCTAGGAAATCCATTCCTATGATAACATCGTACCCTTTTATGTCCAGACTGATTAGATCCACTAGCATTTTACGCTCTTCAATCCAGAATTCACAATTCTTGTAGGCTAAGCTAGCGATTATCTTCTTATTACCCATTGGTGTCCTAACTTCAAGATCGAAGGGTAATCTAACAGGTTTTACATCTATTCCAGACATAAAAGATGGATTTACGAATGAATGAGTTGCATCAGGGTCAATTAACACTTTAGCTAATCGATGAAAAATGGGGAGAGTACCTTCCACGACTTCCGAGGAATCAGGTACAGGTTAGTCATCTATAGCATACACTCTGGCAGGAATTGTCGGCCGGCTCCCTCCAGAAGTGTTGGGTCTAGCGTTCGGAATAGTCCCTTCCTGCACTTTTGGACATCCAAACATTTGGTGCTCGCTACTTCCGCATCTCAAACACTTTCCTTGCTTCTTCTAGCAACCATCTATAGTATGGCCAGGTTTCTTACAATATGCACAAGTCACTTGGGGAATTATTGCTCGGCCTCCTTGCGAGGTATTCCTAGGTTGTCCCCTTCCATTCGGTCCCACTCTAGTTCCATTATTTCATCCCCCTGCATTCCTTGCCCCGGTTCCTCTTGCTTGTGCGCCTCGTGGTGCTCCAGGACTAGTCACTCCACTGGTTCCTCGGCCCACTTTGGCCGGTGGAGCATTTCCATACGTCGGCTCCCGACTACTGCTAGGAGCAAATCTTTTCTTGGCCTGAAAAGATTTCACTTGAGCTCTAGCTACTTCAACTCTCTGGGCTCTCTCGACAGCATCTGCAAAAGTATCTATCCTCACGGCAGCTAAACTTTCCTATATTTCTACATTCAGTCCCTGCACAAACCTTCTGACATGCCTTTGCTCCGTGGTTACCAATTTAGGAGCAAAACGGGATAGTTTCATGAACTGGACTTCATATTCGGCAACACTCATCGCCCCTTGCTTACATTTTATGAAGTCATCCTCTCTCTTTTCTTGGATGAGAGGTGGAAGAAATTTGGCATTGAACTCCCTTGTGAAGTTCGCCCAAGTCTTTGGAGTATGATTCCTGTCCTAGTTAATCCTGACCAGATTCCACCAGGAGCGAGCAGCTCCCTCAAACTGGAATGCGGCGAAAGTCACCTGTCACTCTTCCGTGTAGTTTAAAGCTGCGAAGATGTCGGAGATTCTCTCCCACCATCCCTCAGCTACCTCCGGTTCGGGTCCTCCGTAGAACTTAGGAGGTCCAAACTTCAAAAACCTCTCCAGTGCCCGATCCTCGGAATCGGCTGGGCCTCCTTGGCGGTGCACTGGTCCAGAGGCTTGGTGTTCAGTCAAACGCTCTAGGACGTCAGTGATACGGTTAATAGCGGTGGCCACTCCCTCTTGCCCTTGGTCTCGATTGACATCGGGTTCCCTATCACCACCCGCTTCCGGGTGTTGTCTAGTGGGTCTCCCACGGCTCGTTCCTACTACTTGGCGATCCATTGCCTAATTATTCCTATTACTGAAGGGTAAGACAATTAGGCAAAAATTTTATTTATATTTAATTATTAATATTTTTTATGTGATTAAAATCAACATGGAAATGGAGGAAAAGGAAATGAAACACTTATCATATATTTCCGCGGAACAGTCAGACAATTAACAAGTTGGAACATTTCCAAAAGTAAGGCACATAAGTTAGCAAAAATACATACAGATAATCCCTTAAACAAAAATTAGGGATATGGTGCCTTGGAAGCAAGTCATTCACCTAGAGAGGATTAGGGTTTCTAACTGGGTCAGATATCACTTAAGGTATATCTAATGGACTCAATTCTTATTCCTAGAGAGGATTAGGGTTTCTAACATATCTAATATGTCTTTCAAATAACTTTTCTAACCTAGGCTCTGATACCACCTGTGGCGACCCCACTTCTCCCTAAGGCGAACCAAAGGTGTGACGGCCCCACCTCCCCCTAAGGCGAACCAAAGGGTTCGGCGGGTCGCCTGCCCAGCTCTCGCCGGGACTCAGTAGTTCACTACAGTCCTCAAATAAATTACAAGATAAATCTCAAATATTACTCAAATGTTCCAACGTTTACATATCAAAAGCGAAGCGTCCACGCTTCCACTGCGCCACTCTGATCCATGATCCCAATTCTTATACAAGAGGAATTCCACAACAATAAAATCACAACAAGCCTTCTTTCGCCACGAGCCCTGTGGAGGGGAATAAAATATTTTTGGGGTGAGCTAGAAGCTCAGCGGTAACCAGTAAAATCAGTAATCAAATATATTTCACCATAATGTATTTCGATGATGTCATGATGTCATGATTCAAGTATCAAATGCACGTATTTTTGCTCTCGTGAGCCAGTGAAATCATTGAAACTAAACACCCAACGCTCAAATAGATCCATTAACAGTAAACAGGAATAGGGAGCCATGAGCCTCAGCTCAAGGCACAAGCAATAAATGCTCTAAAATAATTTTCAAGCAATAAATGCTCTAAAATCGTAGTTCAAGCCGTTGGTGTTCAGTACAAGACTCCCCAAGAACTCATTGAAGCCAAATCATGTCATGAACTCGTATGCTGGCACACAGGATATGCAACCAAAGAAACAATGCAAGAAACATTTCAAAAGTAACTTTGGAAACAGTTTAAGGTCACTCACCTCCCTGGCTCAGAAATCATCCATCATATAACATTGTCTTGCTCAAATCCAAGCCTTAGATCACAAACTCAAAGCAATCAAGTCCCTTCAAAGTTCGGACAGCATTTCCCCTGAATTTGCTAACTTTTCCAGCCATCAAGGCTTCATTATTTCCTTAGCCAGTCCCAAAGGTACACACACAACAACAAGTTCATCCAATAGCCATTCAGCAAGCTCCAAGTAGTACTAGTACAAGTCAAGCTAGGGAAAAGTTCGGAAATGAAAGTTAAGCTCAAAACCAGAAAAATAGCTTTTGACATCCTTTTGCGGTAATGGCACCAAAGGCACTACGATTTTCGGATGAAGGTGCAAGATACACCGTTTCGAAACTAAGAGATAGGGCTACAATATTACAGAAGGTCACTCAACCCAGTTTCGAGTGTAACCAGGTCAAAAATGCAAGATACTACACCAGAATCACAAAAATAGATTCACAGAACGCATTCTAGCGAAAACATCATAAATCAGTCTACCTATGTCCAAATCTAGAAATTCCAAAACCAGCTGAAAGCTAAGAAACAGGGGTACATTTCATCAGAAGGCCTCAACAACCAATTTGGAAGCATTCCTGACCAAAACAACCAATTATAGAAGCAATTCCCAAATTCGGGTAAAACCAGGACAGCAAGGGTAATTTTGACTTTTCTCAAGCTACGCTACTCCGATTGATCTGAAATTTTGTAGGCACCAATAAAATACCATTCTCTACAACTTTGATGTTTTAAGCCAAGGCCAATTCGGCCTCTCTCTATGAGCTACAAATTCGGGCAGAATGAAGAACATCAAACCCTAACTTTCCAAGATTTCTTCCAAAACAGAAATTGTTTGCAATTAATCACTTTTTCCACCTCATAGAGTCCTTAAACATCATTTCCAATCATCATATATGGCCACACAATCATGTTCATATTAAAACAGAAAAATCCCCAATAATTATAAAACTTCACCAATTCAACCAAAAATCACAATATAATCCATAAAGTTGCACCTTATACCACCACTAATCATCAATTAAGCATCATTAGAGGGAGGAGAGGGGTCCTTCACAACTCACCTTAGCAATACAAGAGATAGAGCAACTAGCCACCTTAGCTTTCCAAACAACTTCACAACCAAGCTCAACTCCACCAAACTAAGAGGTTTTATGGAGTAATTGGAAGATTAAACGGTTTAATTGAGAGATTGGGCAAGATTGGAGACTAGAAATTGAGAGCTTTTCTTTCTTTCTTTGAGCAAGAAAATTCGGCCAAGAAGCTTGCAAAATGAAGTGATTTTTGGGCCAATTTAAATTAAATGGTAAAGTTATGAATAGTAGTCAAACTCAAGACTAAATCTTATGGTGACACTTGTCACCTTTAGGTGTAAAACTTATCTTTTTGTCTCTCCAATACAAATATTTTAACACCTTGTAAAATAATATCACTTAATACAAAATTCCAACAAGTTGTCAAAAATATAATGCATTTACCGCACTAGCGGGTCCCACGTCCAAAATACGCTTTTAATTTCTCAAAAACTAACCGATACTAGAAAAATCATTTTAAAACTATCTTTGCTCATAAACTTTATCTG